AGCAGCTATGCCTGTTTTGGCCAGGAAGTAAATATGCGTCACAATCTCCAACCAAAAATTGCATTCAGAAGGGGGGCGCTGTCGGTTAGTGCTAATTTCACAGCATCGTCGATGTCCCCAGAAAGTGGTGCCGAAAGGAAAAGATCGTACCCGCCTCTTCATTACCACTGTACCGAAGGCAGTGATAACCGCACAAACAGTTAAATTTTCCGTCAGTTGTGCGGCTTGCAAGAAAGTAAAATTCGATGGACATGGCACACTTGTCAGCCGTGACAACAATCAGTGCATGTTAGTTAATGATACCCTCAAAAAAGGAAACGACTATTCGAGTGTATCCCACTGGGTCGAGCACTAACAGCAAACGTGTGCTGTGAGCTCACACGAAGGACATGTAGCCCGGGGCCGAACGACCCTGGAAGCAAACCAGTGATAACATGGGATACTCACACTGACTGCTCTCTTGGTAGTCTCGGTATTTTTTTGTTTTAGCTTCAGAATGCTCCATGGGAGTAGAAGTTTGGTGGAGGATGTGCAAATTTCGTCCGTTCCAGGTTATTCGGACATTGGCAAGGTGCCTCGATCATGCTGCAACGAGCAGGGCCTACGCGATTATCCGATCGATTGTGGACTGAGTTTCGATAAACTTGAATTATGGACCTACGAACCATTCATGCATACGAAGGTTGCTTTTTTTTTCAATTATGTCCTCCTTTATTAACAATGGACAATCTTTGATGGTACTGAAATGCGCTCCAAGGCTATTTAGCTTCATGTTTTCGTCACGTATATCACAGAAGTCTCGCGAAAAGCCGACAAAACTTGAACTGTGTGTTGCATATGGCCCCAGATAGTGTGGCACACATACAAATTATATTTGCTGCTTATTGTGTCCAAATGCGATGGGGATGATTCGATTCCCTCCCGGTTCATAACCATTCGCAAAAAGGGCCTCTGTTACAATATTTTTACGCATAATCTCTTGATTTGCCCCAATATTGTTGCTTAGCCGCTGGTCCCGTCATTTACAAGTAGCAGTAAAAGTTAAACTAAAAATGTTAAAAAAAAAGTAATTTTTACAAACAAGTTGCACGTTTTATATCGCTTCAGCACTAAATTATATAAGGGAATAAGCCCCCTACCCCCCGTCCCAAGCGGCACTGGCATCAGTGCTGCTAAAGCCCATGTCTAAAGCTAAAACTAAAGCATACTAAAGCTCAAAGAAACTCTGAATAGCAATGTTACAACTCTATTCCTAGTTTTTCCATAGTTCCAGTGTGGGAGGCCTTTTATACTTTTCATAGTAGCAGTGTTAAACCAAAAAATCTACCAAAACAATAAGAAATTGAAAATTTGTTTAGGGTTGCAGTGAAGCACTGTACGATGCAGTAAACAGTCATTTGGATATTGCAATTGCAGTATGCGTCATTCTGGGCGCTATTGAGGTACAATTTGCTTTGATCAGCTGCTGCTGCTGTTGTTGTTTCATCTTTGTAGTATCAATTTTGCATTGTTAGCACAGCTGTCAACTTCCCTCTTTTGATCCTTGGTCCTGAGCT